GGCCGGGTGCCGCTGCAAGGTTTTGGGGGTGTAAGGTTTTTTTTTTTAAAAAAAAAAAAAAAACTCTTGTGAAAACATTAATTCTACCCAGAGCCATTTTATAAACAATTAAAAAAAAAATGCAGTAAGTGGTGATCCAGGTACAAAGAAATTTAAATGAAAGAAAAGCAGCATGGGCAGCCCTGGCTTCACACTCAGAATCACACTTATAGGCAGACGAGCATTTCTGAGGGGGCTCTAACACTGGGAGCCTCTCACACGACCAGAGTCACTGCAGGTTGGCGACACAGGAACCCCTGCTGAGGAGCCCCTACCACTGTGCTACATGCAAAAGGCAGCGTGACCTGAACCCTGCCTTGAAGGGCAGCTACAACTCCTCGTCCTGCACCACACTCATGTTTAACTTTATCAAGTTTATCATGTTAAACTTTTTCCAGTCCAGTGCAACCCATCACATCCAGTGAAGCAAAAGGAGAGTTATTCCACCCAAGCAGTGAGCGGCTTAAAGAAAACCTTCATGGCAAAGGGGCTCCATCACTGACTTTGTCCCCTGGGCAAAGCCACAGCTGAACTGGGATGTGCCTTTCTCCTGGCAGAGGTACCAGCTTGGGGTGAGGTATAAAATACTCTGAAAAATCAATTTGAGAGCAGACACATGGTCAAAGAACTCGCTGGCTGTTGTGTTCGAATAGGGACTACAAGGGCTGTCCTTCTACTTTAATGTTGCCATGGCACATACATGATCTTGTGCTTATGACTACTCAGGTAAGCACATTTTAGCTAAGGCACAAGAAACATGTAAAAGCAACGGTGAAATGCACGAGAATGATTATAGCAATATATGTAAGAAAAATTACTGTCAAAGCTCAGAGAAACCCACCAAACAGATGGGGTCCCACAGCAGACAAGGACTGAGCCATACGAGTCCACTGCATGTCCTCCACCCCACCAACCCTGCTGGTACCCTGGAGATGCAGTCACCCTGGCTGCCTCCCCTCCTCCACTGAGGACTGATACCCATGGGCAGGGAGAGTCACGTGTGCCTCCTGCATCCACGTCAAGAGTTAGGAAAGACAATCTTGGCTTAACGAGATGGGCTGCTGACGTTTAGTTTGACCCATCTTCTACTGTGTTTGCTGCATCTATCTATCTATGTGTGTGTGTGTGCGCTTTATATTACATAAAAACATATAAAAATATGTATTTTTGTTCCCCCTCCTGCAAACCTCCCCTTATCCCCGATAACATGGAGAGTTTTCCTTTGTGATGATGATTCTGTGCAACCTTTGCTCCCGAGCCATTCACACAGAAAGCCCAGACAAGCCCCCCCCGCTGTGAGGTGACAGCTCTGTCTGGGTCTGCAGGGTTTGGTATTCAGAGCGCCACGAGGTCATCGCTCGAGAAAACCTTGATGGTGATGCGACCTGGCACCTCGGCTGCTTCTCGGCTGCCTCTCCCTTGGAGCTGCAGAGTCTGCTCTTCTCGGGGGTCACCGGGTGAGGCTGCCAGCAGCGCCTGTCCGAGGAACTGGTCACACAAGACATTGCTGTTCCAGACCTACGGGAGAGGGAGCAGAAATAACTGCAGCTGAGGCTGCACTTCTCCTTCACACTCCACTTGAAAGGGCCGTGGCACAGAAGGGTCATTCCCATTAACCCCAGCAAGGGCAGTGAGGAGGGCAGACACATCTTGGTGCAGCTAATTTCCTAGAGCCCATGGGGGGAGGAGGGAGGAAGTAAATCTGCATGCTCATTTGCATGTCCTATGCAAATAAGGAGCTAAATGCAACTTTTTCTCTCTAGGTCACGGCCTGCCTAGGTATATAGAGGTAATAAAAATTACCTGTCTGAGCTGCCCAGCGTTACAAAGGCACAGGCAATCAGCCTGCCCACAGCACGGTGCCTGTGTCGCCCCCGACACACTGTCGCCCTTGCGGCACCCTGCGCTTTGCTGCTGGCTGTGCAAGAGCCAGGCCCTGGCACCGCTGGGGACAGCAGGGGCTTTGCAGCGCTTGGCCGTGTCCTTCCTCACTGCTCAGGGATGGGGCAACACGGCACGCTGGTGGGAGGCTGCTGCTGCTGGGGGCACACACCCATCGGATTGCTTGGTCTGCGAAACTCGTTAGTACCCAACCTGCAATTACCCTGGGAAAGTGCCTAAGCTGCACCCTACAGCAGGAGGTGGTGAGGTCCCACCTGTAAATGCAATCTTTGCTATGGACTAGACAGCACAGTAAATGCTACACGTGCCAAGAAGACAAACTGCCCTCCAGCAGCCATCGTATCAGCTCCCTGTAAGCCACACGTGCAGTGTGTGGGTCAGGGGAACACTGCTATCATCTTCCTTCTGTCAGAATACTTGCAGGCTACACTAATAATTCAGAGGAGCATCAGGGCACAGAAATTCCTGATACTGCAATAGGCAGCGAACAGTCACAAAGATAATTCTGCTTACAGCACAGTGCTGTAAAAATACTTCAATTTCTGGCACTTGCAAGGCATAGTGAACTGATTCAGAGATTCACTGTAGCATCTGCCTACACTGATCAAGGAGACATAGCTCTTATATTTGCCTGATGCTAAATGACTGTGTGTATCAAAGTGAAATGCCAACCCACTCACTCCCTTGGTCAAAAGCTTCTCAGCTGTAGCCTTAACTTTGGTTTCACTTCAAAGACTAACTGAAGACAGCACTAGTTTTTACTTTCTTCCTATTTTCTCAGGTAGCAAATGAGGTATTTGGGAAATTACTTCAGAGCTCAGAAATTGGGTTTTCTGATCTCTAAGTGTCATCACTTGCTATTCTGTGGAAAAGAACCGGACTAGAGATTCAGTAGGGCAGCCAAAGAGACTCAGATGTAGCCTGGTAAAAGGAACAGTAATTCCCACTGTTCTGCCCTGGGTACCTGCCTTGTGACGGAGACAGTGCTACGTGTCAGGCATTCAGACTGTGTTGTGCTCCCTCGCCCGTCTTTGACGGCCCACCCAGCACAGCCCAGCTCACCTGGATGATGATGGGACTGTCGATGTTTTTTCTGTAGAAAATCACTTGTGTGTCAAAGACAGCACTGGTAGCGTCTTGCTGAACGACGGAGCGCACTTGCTGATTCTCACACTTGATAAGCACATAGGGATCTGCTCCTAAAACACAGTCGGTGGCACAGCTGTTAGGAGACACAACAGCAGCTGGGAATCCCAGCAGGGACAATCCCCTTGTGTTCCTGGCTGAGGACCAGAGCAGGGGACACATGAACAGGGCACTGCCGGCTCCCTACCTGCTGCCAAGGTGAAACATCTCGTTCTTGCCAATGCTGGCTGGTTGTTCAGTGGTAGGAGCTGAGCACTGTTTGCTGTGAAACCAGCTCAATCCCAGCCCTGCCCAGGGACATGGCTCTTGCCACGAGCACGTAACACACACAGGGCTATGCATGTTTGCACCTCGAAGGAACTCGGAGCACTCTAATGGAAATATATGGCAATGCCCACTGCAAACCTCACAGCAAGCAGGCACTTTGGTGCCAAGAAGATTATGGAAAGGATGCTGACCAAGCCCTAATGCCATGAACACCCAGCAGCTGAGCTAGCAGCAATATTAACACTGCTCAACAGGCCACCAAGGGGCCTCCCGCTATGCCTTGGGGAGGGTCATTCACTCGCCACGTTTCTTTGCTGTACATCTCCTGGTTTAGGAAAGAGAAAGGTTTTAAAATGAAACTCTAAGCTCCTGCCACTGCTCTGTCTCAAAAAGCAAAATGCACGTGTATGTGCATGCAGTGAGACAGTACTCGGTGCCTGGGTCAAAATGGAAGGTCAAAAAAATTCATCATCCCCCATCCCCAGGGAAGACAGGCCAGAAAGGCACAGAGCTGCTTTTAGATATTGAACACCCATCTTGAGGCCTAGGGACTTGCACGCAGGAAAGTGCATTTTGATAGGAGTGTTAGTGTTAGCAGGGGCATTTGCAACAGGCCTGAAAGCCAGAGGAAAAAATACTGTCAGAATGTAAACCACTTTGTAGGAGCGCGTTGGTTTCGACAACATTTTCTGTGGGAAACTATCAAAGCAAACGCTCACGAGTTTCTCATTTCCTTCCCCCGACGCGAGACAATTTCTTAGAATCTATTATTTTGATTCATGCCATTTTAAAGCTTGTATTAGCATAACATCACAGGTTAATATTTTAGATTATATGCTAATCAGATGTAAATTAAATGCTTTGTAGCTACTGATAAAACATTCTAGAAATGTTTTGCTATTTTCAGACTGAACATTTTCAGTTTGTACTAAATGTTGAAGGTTTCTTTCCATTCCAGTAGAGAGCAAGAGCCTCTTTGGAAACACCTGCCTTCTCCTTGGAATGGACTGGACCATTCTATATTTAATATTTTCATTAACTAAAATTAATATTTAACACAGGCTGTACCATTTTTTATATTTCAATACAGCTATTTCTGTCCATTCCTATCGTTAATGGCAGCATCCCTACTAAAGATAGCTCTGTCTACTTTTTATATAAAGATTTTAAGCAAGTCCATTGAATCTGCCTAAGCCTTAAGGCAGACTCAGGCAACCATTTCTTATATAAGTTTTGTCATCATCTACTCGAAAAATGCCCCCACTGGAATGACCACCATAAGACAGCATAATTATAAAGCAGCTTTCATTTTGTAACAATTCATACATGCTAAGATTTCCCTCAAACACCTCACTCAGCTACAGGAATGGATATCAACATTTCACACAAATAAATCCTGTAACAGCCACATCCAAAGCAGAAGGAGCCACTTCCACTTCTGAGAAAGCAGCAGCCTTTTCCATCTGCCGCACAGTGATTAGACCTGGCCAGAGCCCCAGTAAGCCTGTTACCCTGACAACGTTTCACACTCTCTCTAGCAGGTAGCAGCATGTTGGCTTTTCTGGTATTGACTTTTCCTTTCTGTGTCACTGAATGTGTCGATTTAGCTCTGGGGCAGGAGGCTGCACCAGGCTGTGTGATAAGGGAGGGAGCAGCTCCTCCCTTTGCAAAGAGATTTGGAAAGTGGAGCCAAATAAAAAGGGGTCTTGCATGTAGTAGTGTCAACTGCTTTGGCCTTAGGCAAACAGCAAAGCAACAGCCCATCAGTAACTGTAATCAGGAGATATTGGGTATAAGCAGGGCTGGGGAAAGGACAGCACTTTCAGTGTTAACAGACATACCTGCTGGACCAGGATGCTGTTGAAGAAAGACTTACCAAATCAAAGAAGCATTGGAAAGAAACAGATTCAAATTCTCACAAAGATGGAAGAAAAAAAAAAAAACAGGAAGATTCTGGAGGAAGCATGACCCGCACAGCATGACTTCACGATGGCATTGCTGAACGGTCCGTTACGTTAGTAGGACCATCTCCCAGCTCCGGAAGCAGAGAACGAAATGCGAGCTGCATATGCGCGATGAGACGAGAGCGCCTCTCAGCTGCAGTGCACCACAACCTTCATAGCTCTTTGCCTGGTTTATTTACACCTGTACGAAGGCACTGCAGGAATGGCTGCTAATAACATGGAAAAGCAGCACTTCAGCCCACTAGCTGGGAATGAAACACCAGGAGCGGCTGCTCTGGCAGCGGAAGTGGAAGGTTCAGTTCTCAGGCACACGTCTCAGACTATGCCTTGAGCACCAAACCCTGTATAAACACTGATACATGAAAGTTATTGCCAATCTGATGAGTGGAAAAGGGGTCAAACAGAGCAGACAGTGCTGAGACATATGGACTGCCTGGGCAATTGCAGCAGTTTGGACTGCTCTGCCTTTTGCAATTGAGTCCTAGCCCACATGATGCTTCTTATCTTCTGCAATTCAAAAAGTAATAAAAGGGAATATTCAAAGCGGCATCTGCAAATGTTCCCCCCACCATTTTCTCCCCACTTCCCTTCTCGTGCTCTGCCTGGCTATTTAACAAGCTGCTTTTTGCCCTCTCCTTTCCTTCTCTCTCTCAGACTTCTCCTTAGGCAACTACCATTAAAGGTGCCGGATACTCTGCTTATCAGCTATGTCACCTACCTAGTGACATAGTGATCATAACACCTAGTTTGGAGAAGGGGCCAAGAAAGACAATTAAACAATTGAATTCAACTTAAAGGTTCTGTAGAAAGATCTTAAAAAAAAAAAAAGGTTTAATCTGAAAGCTACACTGTTAGGAAAAGACTGTGATAGCCAGTAGTGAGAGCAATTTTTAAAACAGATTGGGAGATGCAGAGAGGAAATGCTCCAAGAGTGCAGCACTTCTGCGTCTTTGCAGATCTCCCACCATACTTGGCTCCCAGATGGCTGGATCAACTTCAGAATAAGCTAACTCAAGAGAGAGGTACTTCCAAGAGAAGCAGCTAATATACGGATAAAAAAATGAGTGTGGGCAGCTAGACTCATCCATTAACCTTGGCACCAGCAAACCATCCATTCATTTTTCCAGACAGGAAAATGGATCAAAGACAGCGCCAAGCAGGAGCTTTCAAATAAACATTTAAAATAGAGATTAAACTACCTCCTCCTGGGAGGCAGAAGAGTCCTGATGACAACCAGCACGGGAGTCAGTCAGGTTGCAATTACCAATGTAATCTTCCTACTACCTCCTGAACTTTTTTTTTTAAGGTAATTGCTCAGAAATTTGTGCTTTCTGCTTAGTGCAGCTCTCACATAGGAATGATGGACTTTTGTGATGAACAGTGCATTCAAGTCTGAACTCCCTCCAGCCAAGCTTAAGGTGCATCAAAACCGACATCTCTGTTCAGGCTCCTCTCCTCTTGTAGGGCCATCTTCCCTTCCTCAACTGCACACCCCAGTGTCAGCGGTTAGATACACTACAGCTGGTGTTTTCAGGGCAGACTTTGTCACAGAGATGCAGTGATGTGTTTCAGTGCTCAGAAGCCTCCAAAAGAACCCTATTCTCCTTCTTCACCATCAACTTCACCCTCTGCAGGTAGCCAGACCACAGGGAATACAGCTGATGCATGGCAGATAGCCAGCATAAGAAAAACTGTAGCTTGGCTGAGATGCTGCAGCAGGGGAAGATGGAAGATGCTGCACTCACTTGCCTATGGGTGTTGCTGGGTAGCTCTTCCCTCACCTCACTTGATGATCACACTGTTGTTGACTTTGAAGTTCAGTTCACACCGTAAATGCTGAGCAAGCCGCAGGCAAGGCTGGCATTTTGATAATTGCCCATGGAATGCTGTGGTCTAAACTCACTTCTTTTGAGAAGAAATCATGCACGTACAGAAATGAAGCTTTCCCAAATGCATGGTCCCTATTTCTCCTTGAGATAAACATGCAAGAGGGTCCTGATAATGGATCCAGAGGAGACAGAGAGGAGAGCGCCACAAGGAGCTGCATTCTTTGACAGCAGGCAACTGTTTTGAAGGATCTTATCATGACTGCAATTGTGCTAATGATTGTGAAATGCTGAGGGTGGAGAATTGGCTTTTATTGCTTTGCTGCATGGAATGTTAGAGGACAATGTTTAAGGAATTCAAAAAGGGAACAACAACAAAAAAACCTTTAAAATGAAAGTATCTTTCACAGGGTAAGAACAAGAACTGTCTCTTTTCAAATCATACTCTGCTTTTCTTGTCATGAAGCGCCCCTTCAGACTCAGCAATCCATCCTGCCTTTCTGAGGACATGGAGCCACGCTAGGTGTTCGACTGAGGTGTATGCGGTCACTGTTGTTAAAGTGCCAAGAAAAATGAACTGAAACAGTTGCCTGCATCTCTCTTTTAGGGGACATTCCTGTTCCCTAAAAAGACAACCAGAGTCAACAGAAAGTGCCTTGCGCAGTGAAAAGTACTTTTGGTCACCACTCTGTGGGTGCCAGGAATAACTGTGGATCGAGGACTGGAACCAAATTGTAACCAGCTGGAGGTGTTTGCAGCTGTTTTTTGAGGCTGGAGATGAACTGTATTACAAGCCTATGTATAATAACTTCTCTACCACCGGGAGTTAATGCAGCTGAGTTCTGCATCTTAAGCTAATGAGCGCTGAAGAGCTATCTGGAGCAAATGCAGCAGATGTTTTAACAGTCTCTTCAGTTTCCTGTTCCAGGTTCACCAAAGTGTCTCTGCTCCTTTGCTTCCTCCCTACCAACCACTTGATGCAGGGTGTGACTGCCAATTTCTATTGCAATGGCCATGGGAAGTGAAGGATGACAGATGGAGAGCAAGTGTAGAAAAGAAGGAAGCAAATGACAACCGCTGGACAATTTCTTAATTAACTGTCACAATCAGGAACTAAATGACATCTTAGTATTCTCATTTCAGGACACTTCCTTTGACATGTAGATACATAGTCCTGCGCAAATCATTTAACCTCTCCCTCTCAGTCTACCCAGCTGAAAGTATTTGTTTGAATACTGCACTTTCCTCCCTGAAACGCTATTAAGCCTGTGATAGCAAAGAGCTCTGAAGGCCTTGAATGACACAGCTGAGGTAAGAGAAATGCACTGCCTTAGTGTGTGCTATTCAACTGCCTCCCTGGACAGCTTCCATCTACAAAATGGAAAGGTCTGAGAAGTTAATTTCTTGCTACTCTCCAGAAAAAGTCCTTCGGGAGGGTCTGACTGCTACTGCCCGTCTGGGCCAGCAGAAATGACGCATGACTCTTGCTGTTTAGCATCGTCATATCCATCTCGTCTCTCCTTTCAAGCAGACTGTACGAAGTGCTGCAAAAATCTCCCACAAACTTTCAATTTGCTGGTGTAATTTCTGACTACCTGCTTAATAATTCAGCTCAGCTTTGGACGGCTGAGAAAGCCCTTCCCATCTTTCCAAGTTTGCTTTTCACTTACCACCTGATCTGTCTTGCTTCTGTAAGCCCTCTGCAGAGTGAATTTTGATTTGGGTGACTCTACGCGGATAGCCACACAGAAGTCTCCAACATGTCATTTGGGGCTTATCTGCCTTCAGCTCTCTGAAAAAAAAAATCAAGGCAAGAATTGAAATGATGAAAGCCAGGCAAACAATCAAACAACGGTGATGGAAGCTGGGCCTTTATGGAATATCAGATTTATACTCTCCCCCGACCTGTCATCTTGGAAGTTTGTGGCACAGGCATGACATACTTAAGGAAACAAGAGCAAACCAAACCAAACCTAAACCAAAGCAAACCAAACTCAGAAATCTTCAAACTATAGAAAATAGTATCAAAACAAGACAAGAATTCAGTGGTCCAATTTCACTGTGCACTAGTTTTACACTCACAGATATCCAATGGTTTCAAGAGAGATAGAGAAGTGAATGGTATGAACTGCACCTGTGAGCCCCAGCACTCATGGAGTTCAGATCTAGAACTGGAGGCAACTACAAATGCCTAATGAAAGGGTCAAATGACACAAACTCATTTGCCTGCTCCCAGGTCCCTAAATAAACGTGTCCTAAATATGTACAAATCCCAGTGAGCCATCTGGAGATTCCTGGAGGTGACCATGACTATCTCAAGGCCTAAATCTCAAGTGAGGTATGTCAGTGAGCCAAGGACATTTGACAGCAACCCCTCCCAAGTTGATGCAGCCAATATGAGCAAGGGAAGATCCCATACAACTGTGATGTCCCAAGTACCTGAGTTTTGATGGCACATCTGTGAAGAGTCTCAGGATAAACTTTGTAATGATGCCAGGATGGTACGTAGTTGGAATAAGCATATAGCGGCCTTGTTTAAGGACCCTCTTTAGGAACACGGTGCGTGTATTGATGTACATAGATGTAGCCACTCTCTCCTGCACAGTCAGCTTGTGTAGCCGGTAGCGTCTGTTATCCTCCACCTACAGCCACAAAGCAGCAGAGGAGCTGATGCAATGAGGGGTATCACAGCCTTTTATGAGCAGAAGAGACAATGTAGAGTCAAAAGGTTTGGCACAGTTCACCTGCTGGAGATGGGGCAGAGACATAGCCTTGATGGTCAACCTGGTGCTCAAAGCACTTGCCTGCATTGTCTCCAGAGCAGTGCTGTTCTGTACTTCACTGCAGAGGTATGTACATGTATGCTCCTAAGTGAGGAAGGGTTGACTTGGCAAAGACACACACCTACTGACAGAGTTACAATACTGCAACAGCAGAGTTAGGGATATAAAGTCCTTCGGACATGCACACACTCCAAGGACTCCATTCAGTAAGCTACAGTGCCATCTTAGATGAGACAGAAATTCATCTTGCTCCCTTCTCCAGCAAACTCTGCATGCCAAAGTGCCTGACAGCAGGTTCTCCATCCATAGCATGAACAAATGCCCATAGCTCTATTTTTCTTGACCTCTTCTGAACACAAAAAACACAGAATAATTATTTATGATTTGTTTGTTCTAAGCCTTGAAGCTGTGCTCAGCTATTAACATCCTTTTTTGGGAGCTGTTGTTTGCAACAGCACAGTTTAAATACAAACTGTTTTCTTCAGCAATTCCTGGGGCAAAGACAGCCCTACATTCTTTTTTGGTAGCTCTCATTTGTCTTCAGATAATTTAGGCCATGGTCTTCCAAAGGCCCTTAGTCATGTTAATGCATTTGGCAGGCAACAATACTTCTGAAATATAAAATATTACACAGAAATAACAGATAGAGCACTGACAATTTCTGAAGGTGTGATTTTCTTTTTGAAGCCTTTCGCCTGACATGCTGACTAGCCAAGAACAAGAAATAAAAAAAAAATATGCCACTTCCCATAACAACACCTTTAAATATATCTGGTTAACAGGTTATTGTCAAATGCGTAGGTGTGATGCAAATGGCAGAAGCTCTATATGGCACCATTATTTACTGTTCTCTGGAGCAGGGCCACAGTCTCAGTGTAGCCCCTCCAACTGTAGCAGTAGATGATAAAATAATCCTAATCCCTAGTGAAAAAGCAGATTGACAGCTGTTTTTCTTGCTTTTCTCTTCTTTGGTTTCTTGTGGTTTCATTTTAATCATACTAGTCAATTTGCCCTGGAACTGCAATTAAATTATTGTTTGTGATCCCTCTGCTTCTTATTGCACATTTGTTCATTTGTTCTCACTATTCCAGCTTTTGAAAACACCTGACTCTTCTGGCTTTTCTATGTGGCAAAAGAAAAACTGTAAATTTTTCGAACTCATTTGACTGTATTTCCTGATGAAAGGGAGGCAGGAACAGAAAAAAATCAAGTGAGAAGGGGAAAGAGCAAATGAAAACAAAAACATCATCAACAACAAGAGCACCCTCCAAGTTTCAAGCATTAATGTTTTTTATGAAAGAAAAAAATCTCTCTTATCCAAGCTTGGGGAAGGAAAAGTACTTAAAATTATTTTACAATATGGAAAAATGACTTACGCTACTTCAGTTCAAGCAGCGTTTGAATGGAACTAAGTTGAATTTACCTCAGATAGAACCTAATGGCAGCTCTGGTGGGGAATGCAACATACGTGGGAGACTCAGCTGGCTGCCTACCTTGAGGATTTCGAAGCCAATGGGGATGCTCTCGCCTTTCCCCTCTTTCTTGTACCTGCGCCGATCCTCCTGCTGTAATGAGACCAACACTTTGTCCTCGGTCTTCTTAACATCAAAGATGTACTAGCACAAGAGAGGAGAGATGAGCTGTTAAAAACGTCATAGGAGACAAATATAAAGCCATCACCAAAGATATACAGACATCTAGCAGAGGTACCCGAAAAGCCTTTTTTGTGAGTGTGGGGAGAGAGTTCTGCATGTGAGAGAGATTCTCAGAAAATCAAAGATGAAAAATAATGCTAATAATAAAGGTCTTTTTTTAAAAAAACTAGAAGCACTGAAACAGGTAATTCACTTAGCAGACAGCAGGAGACAGTATTTCAAAATAACTGTTGAGGCAGCAGAAGAAAATATCTGCGCAAAAAGTAGAAGATGAAAAATCAGGTTGTATTTAGATTTATATAAACTGGGAGAGATTTCTAAAAAAAAAATTGATCGGACTCCAGATAGGGTATTTGATCATTTTGGATTCTTTTCATAACTTGGATTTCTAAATAGAGCCTGTGAACCTCAAACATAATTTTTGCACTTGACATACAAATGAAGGAATCTTCTGAACATCAGCTAGAACTATTCTGTGCCTGCAATTCCTGTTTAATATAGGAATGTCAGGAACACAAATTTTGGTCTTCCTTATTTTTCTTGAGAGCCTTAGGAATACCGAGGTAAAAAGGGCTAAGGGAATTCAGCACCCTTAACATGCAAACATTTTATCTAACTGTTCAAAGTCATTCTAAATCAACTTGGATTTAAGACAATTAAAACAAACTACATAAAGTTTAGACAGCAATTCCCACCTCAGAAAATCAGATTTGGATTGCATACATTATTAAAATATCACTGTCAGACCAGTTTTCCAGAAAATGCAAAGGTTTTCAATAGGCAAAAATGTCCGACGGGTGTTTCTTTGCAGGGCAAAAATTTAACACTCAAACGCTTTCACTCTTAAAAACTCATTTAAATTTTATTTCTTCTTGTATACTCAGGGCAAATCTAAACTGGAGGGATGAATGAAGGCAAGGGATGCTATTTTAAAAAGTTGAGGCAGATGTATTCTCCATCCTTACAGACTACTGACTGCGAAGCAGATGCATAACAGCATAACACAGCAGCAGGGTCCAGCCGACTACTATATACATGACACACCCCAGTTAGAGCAAAATCAGAGACCTCCGACTAGCAGGAAGAGGAATATAATCAGAGGTTCAATTCCCTCCTCTCCAACAGCTGCTGAAAAGCGCTATCCTGCCCAAGGGGGATGCTGAGATTGCTGTGGTTGCTGCTGTGGAACGATCCCTGCAATGACTCTGCATCCCTCTGTGGGGGAGCTCTGCAGAATGTGGCATCAGCCCCTTTCTCAGGCCGACCCTCACAGGCACTGTGACACATACAGGCAGGAAAGCAACCAAGGCAGAGCTGGCTGAAGCACAGCAGTATTGCAGGGAAAATCAATTCCTTCCCAAGCCTCTGGGCTTCATTAGTTATTCCCAGTATTTACAGTCCAGATCAGCTTCCTACTATTGCAGGCAGAACTATTGCTTGCTGTTCTGGGCTGGTTCTTTCTTGGTACAAAATCAATGCTTCTTTGCGTCTTCACCTGTGTGCTATTCACCACTGGGCATATTTCCTAAGGACTGTAAAGAGCCTCTGCAAAGAGAGTCTAAGAAGAGAAACATAAGTATGCAGTCACACATATTGGGGCACATTCAAATGCTTGTCCCTGGTACATCACATGCAGCATGACTTTGTCAGAGAGCCTGGGATGTCCCAGGGCATATGGAGCTGCAGAAAGGAAACTGAGGGCTCCAGAGTCTCGGTGTGATGAGATGTGTGTGGCTGTTAAAACCTATGATGACATTTCAGCTGCACTAATGGGTAATGACCTGGAAATCAGCAGGAGGCTGTGGAAATGCATTTATATCTGGCTTAAATTCCCTTATTTTAATGGAACTGGAAGTGTCACAATTCCCCTCTGAATAGGTGAACTTCATAGGAGGTCTCAGAATCAGGGAGTTGATTTTGGAAAACCAGAGACAGATTGTCTCTAGAATATCATATATATTTTTATATATGTATTATATATACATATATATATATATATATAGCCACAATCATTTATAATGACCCTAAGCTAACACAAATATGTTCCAGCACTGCTATGAAGAGCCTTTTAATCAATCGGCCTCAAGACACAACTGGAATAAGTAGTCCTTCCAGCACACCAGGCACTGCACTCGACCGTAACAGCTATGGATTTTGTTCTCTGTAGCAGCTAAACACTTACAACCAAGACCCATATAAACACTTGAATATATCCAGAGGAACACCTGAATAAAATCACCCTTTGAGAAGGAGCGCTGGCACAAGCTAGAGTAGTGAAGAACTGCTTCTCTGCCTGTATCTGTAGGACAGGATGGCACAAACTGGATACTTTCCAAACCTTAAATTAGAACAAGGAGATACTAATTACTGTGGACCAGACCCTCTTGATGTTTAAGGGTGCTAAGTGAGCAGATTTCTGCCAGTAGAAAAGCAACCTGCTGTTTTTCTACAAATGGGAAAATGAATTCTAAATGAATTCTAGGCAGGATTTCACTCATTCATGTGTCCCTGTTTCATAAGTCTTAAACATGATCAGTTCTAAATGAATATCTGAACACTTCTGAAAGATCTCACAGAAATCACTGCAGTGAACCAACATACTCCCAGAGGACAGACACCTGCAATGAGATTATATCAGGTGGTCATTACGGGGTCCTAAATAAAATGGATACTTCAGAAGCCTAATTAAGGTGGACACCCTTTAATACTGTTTGAAGTACAGAAATTCCCACCTGGGGGTTTTGCAGGAAGGTGTCTCTGTTATCAAAGCATCCACCAGAACGATTTAACAGGGGCTCTGAATTCTTTGTCCAAGCCCCCTGCATCATTTTCTTCTCCCAGGTCTTGTGGATACTGAAGTAGGAGGTATTTACTATGCGGCAGATGTCCACATCAGTGAAATTTTTACACCAATCCTCAAACGTCATCCTGAAGCAGGGGACACAAAGAAATTAGTGGTTTATTTAAAAATAAACAGTGCTACTGACCCAAAGAGCCAAAATAACATACAAAATCTTCCAGTAATTAAAGAAGAGACACTGCTCAGTTTTCCAGATTAAGTCAAGGACAAACTGCTTTACTGGAAATCTCTCCATGCAGAAATGATTGTGAAGCTGTAATCACAGTATCTTAGAACCCAATATGCAGTGTGTTGGGTCATCTTGAGATGACTCCCACTTACCAGAACTCTCCATCATTCTCAACAGTGAGTCCCAACCTCTTACATTCAGAACTGCTGACTTTCTTCCACTCTTCAGAACTAGAAGGAGGTGGGGAACAACCACAAATATCATTTATTAAATTAAATATTATTACCTAGAAGAAAAATAGTTCCAGGTAAAATTCCCTCATGGTCTCCTTTAAAAAGGTAACATCAGAGTACTGAAAGAGTAGGTGATATTGAAGAACGGAAGGATAGTTTTAAAACATGCATTGATTTGAAAGTTACCATAAAAAAGATACGTGGTGAATGGCAAATTGGCACAACTAGAGCAGAATTTTATTGATTTCTTCTATTACACTCTCCCTTAAAAGGGCTGGTTTGGAAGGGCATATCAGACCGACTCCATTCTCTTACAGAGAACATATTCAAAAGTAGATAATAAGAAACCTGCATTGCAGCTTACTGAATCTTAGACCTTCACTTAGACAAGAGTATTATCTCTGTCTTTCAACCTCCTTAGATAAACCAGGGATGCGAGCTGCCCAGATTACCCCAGAGAGCCTCCAAGAAGAAACTGTTCCAGTGCAATCTCAGGGTCCAGTTTCCAGGGTAACTGTACACTACAAACACACCCCATTGCCTGCACTACCCTGCGACTTAGGTGCTCTACACTGTCCCCTGGAGGCACCTGCCTCTTTCACTGGCTGCAGTGAACACTAGAAGCTAACTTCAAGTGCTCTGATGTTTCAGTCGTCTAACAGGAGACAGCATGAAATCCTTTCCACATACGTTACATACGGAGCCATGATTTCTTACTCCCTTTCTAAGGATTCCTTGTCAGATAAAGCTGAAAGGAGTTGTCGGGAGCGAAGAGGTTGCTTGTCATAACAGACTTTTTTAAGCACCTGAGGATTTCTCTGTTTAATTCTAGTAGGCCAAAATTACAGAACAACTTCAGAGCCCTTTCTTAGTGTTTCTATCAGAGTGAGTGGCAACTCTGCCAAGGTTAAGACCTAGCTGAAAATCACATGGGTTCAACTACAGACATTCACTCTTCTTTACATTCTGCCAGCTCAGCATCTCATCTATTTAAAGTTGTGTTTGAAAGTAATAGATTTTTGCCATGTAACCTATGGAAGATGGATATTTAGCATACTGTTATTAAGAGTATTGCATTATACAGTGCTAACAGCTCTGAGTGAGTGACTGTGAAGCACAGGGTTGAACTGTAACGACCTAGTTGAATGTTCCTCATGTGTAACTGATGGAATATATCTCTTCCAGGAGTCACTTCCGTCTGTAGGGGGAGCTACGAAACCCATGGTCCACACTGAAACTCATGACAAAATTATTCAAGACATTACAAATGTAGCAATTTTACAGCATTTTTCATCAGTCTGTTTTAAAATGAAGGACTCATACCATCCCTGGCAACTACAGATGGGAAACTGAGTCACAGACAGATTCCATGGCGAAACTAGAACAGAACTCCTGTTCTTTACTCATCGCCTAAATTGCAGGATATTTTTCTACCCATGCTCCTATGTGCCAGGAAAATGATGTATGCAGTAAAGTAAGGGTTGGGAAGTCATTTTCTCCTTGCTGTTTCAGGATGAGACACTCATTTGCTCACAGAACCTTATACTCGTGAAGGGATGGCAAAACGCTTCAGCCATCAATGAGTGCTGCAGACTGACGTTGTGTCTCAGAACGTTTAATCACACATTCAACTTCCGGCGGCCCCAAAATGCAGCTTCATTCCTTTGACACTGGAGCTCGTAGCACTTACTTGTCGCTCCAGGCGCCGTTCCATTCCCTCTTCCCCCAGGGATTCCTCAGCCTGATCATGAAGAGCTTTTCTGCCTTAAAAGAGAGGATGAGCCTTTCTCCCAGGCGTAGTTTCCGAACTGCGGTCACTGAGTAGGCATGACCGATGACGAGACCCGTTGCTGTCTCCATCTCATTGGCAAAGCCAGAGGAAGCCTTTAGCACCAAGAAATGACAATTAGAATTTGAAGCTCCAAGCTAGTGTTTGAGCAGTTTGGATTTCCATGTGACAGTGCCAGACAAGCCCCGGCAGACAGAGACCCGGAGCACAGAAGACTGCCTGCTATGCCCATTCTGTCTCCTCCTGGCTGCATGGAGTGAACGCCTGGCTGATAGATAACCTGATTCAGCCCCTGCAAAATCTTGTCAACTTTACAAGTGAGCATTCTGGATATTAAAGATTGTGCACAGGCTTAGTACTGTCTGGTAGTATCTTTAACTGGACACTTCGTAGGACCTAAGCTGATTCCAGCAGCTGTTTCTTTGTTGGGGGTGTATCTCAACCGTAAAGAACTACTCACAGTGGCTAAAAATAGGTGGCACAACCAAGAAAGCTTTTTACCTGTTTGACAAACCTGCCTTGTACCTCACTCCTGACCTGGCTGGCCCCTCTCATTTGGCAAGTGGCAGCTCTGCAGGCTTTGATAGGAACTTGGTTTGTCCCTCACAGACTTCATTTAAGCAGCCTGTTTTCTAGCAGTGACTAGGCAGTGAACTGCCCTATTGGGTGACCTAAACTTGATCAGATGCTGATCTAAGAATACGTGACAATTTCAAAGGTACCAAAAAGATCCCATTTTCATTCATTGGATTAGGCTCAAATCTTATAGGCATATCTAAAAACAGAAAAGCAATGTCATATAAAGATGCTGGAGTGGCTCTGAATGACCTGGTCCCTTTTCTCTGCCTTAGGAGGAAGACCACATCTACCTAGACTAGAGTTGCAGGAGTTGCACTGAAACAACAGTGCTCAGTCCTCAAAGATAAGAAATCAGTGGGGGAAAAAAAAAGAAAGAAAGAGAGATAAAATTCTAACAAATCAGAACTGACAGATGCTCTGGCAACTGCGAGACTCTCACCAAGACCCCTGCGCTTTTCAGTGACAACAGCTCCTAAAGAATGAGCTCATGTGCTACATCAAGACTGGCTGGCATTTCCAATGGGTTGGGGTTTTCTCCAATGTAACACTTTCACTTGCATTTTTCACAACTAAAAGCAAACAAGAATCCCTGACGGCACAGGAGTCTGTGCTCACTCCTGCTCCCTTCATCATCCCCCAGGCATTTCTTACTGCTGTCTGCCTTTGCCGTTTCATTCTGAAGCCATTTATTTATTTATTTTAATAATATATTTAAACATCTCCTGTCTGTTCAAATTTCCAAATGCTGAAGCTCCGGGCTGTTCTATATTCCAAGGAAAATGTTGGCATGTTTGTAAGTCAGCAGTGAAGCCGCTTGGGTATTACACAATCCACATTTAGCATATTTCATTGTGCACATAATGCATCTACCAGAAAGTGATACATGGCAAATGAGTGAAACCAAATCAATAGAAGCAGCCCTGTGTAATCATGCTCAAAAACATTTGTGTTTCATTTGACAGGCAGAAATAAAATGCCATGAAAAAGTGAAGGGATTCCAACTGCCTAATTAATTAATTACTTTTCCAATGCTAACCCCTCATACTTTGCCTGTCCCCTCACAGGATTCCTCTTAACAAACAGAACCCACGGTAGTGTTTGGGGGAATGTTTGTACAGTATATGGTCAGGCCTCGCTAGACGGATGATTTTTAAAGGCATCTCCAAACTTGGCTGGTTTCCCGTTGTTCTGGACAACTGCACAACTACCACCATATTTGCAAGAGTCTCTCAATGAACCACCACTGTATCACCCCGAATCACCCATCGGGAAGCCAACCCTCCTCTACCAACTAAACGAACCTCAGGCTAGTGCAGGCACTTGTGCCGGCCGCGTGGCGCAAGCCAGCACAGGCAGATACGCTGGCCAGCTCTCATGGGGAGTCTTATCAACAAACAGGCCTGCCTGAGTGCCTAAGGGAGCTCAGCCTTCAGCTCAGCTCCAGTGTCACACTGACAAGGTGACTCTGTTAGCACAGCCGGAGTCAAGAAGCCTGAGCAGTTTAGTGCCAGCAGTGTTTTCTGTAAAGGGATTTCCATAAGAAATACAGAAATTGAATGCTGCCATTTGGACTGTAAATTAGGGCATTCTAGGCAGATTAACCTTGGGTCACTACCCAACTGTGGCCGTTCAGAAAGAACAGCACCGCAGGTCCACAGCGATGTGGCAAGCAGCACAAACAGCTCTGTGGTTTTGCGACTCTGTTTGGTGGCTCTGGGAGTTGTACTTGGCTGACAGCACTGCCAATTTGCTAGCTTTTTCCACACCACGTGCTTCCAAAGCTCACAGCTAAAGGACAAACTCAACATACTTATACTGACAGTGGTATTTTTTTCCAGATAAGAATATTAATTGAAAAATTCTTTATATGCAGCTGTCTGTACATACCGCGATGGAACAGCTGATCAACCCGCCTCTTTTATGTACTTTCAGCAACTCTTCAAACAGCTTCATCTGTTCAGAAATAGTCTCTTTGTATTTGCCCTTTATCAGATCAACAGATTCTGCCACTGCTCCAGTGAAATCCACAATTGCATCTGCAGCGCTGCCTCCATCCAGAGCTTCGTAAGATCCAGCCATCCTAGAGGCAACCCAGAACATTCTCACTCACCCAGTGGTCATTAGAAAGGCTCTGATTTAGCCAGAGCATAGGTAATATATTTATGAAACACCAGGGGAAAAAAATGAAGCAAAAAGTGCAAATTGGAGATGAAGCTTTGATGGGCTTCCAGAAAAGAGTAGAAAAATCCTTAAGGGTTTTGAGCTGCTGAAGTTGAATGCATTGGGCTGCTTTACAGTGCACCTCCACCATGCAGATTAAGGGAAGAGTTTTTAATTATTTTAGGCTTCCTGCTGTCAGCAAACCTAAAATCTGTGGAAAGTATGATAAGGCTGAGAGACAAAATGAGCAGATGGATAGCAGGACAATGAAGTGGTTCATACTTTGCATAAGCTTTCTCCAACAGCGCGCTCCAGAATTCGTTTTTCACATTGGAGTGGCAATAGATCAACTTCCCATCCACTGTTGGCAGCAGATCATCAACAACCACCTCTGTCCATTCTCCAAAACACCAGAACCGGAACCGGAAAATCCCAGCATATTTCTCTGTTTTTTTAGGGTCCCATTCTTGTTCTTTAAAGTCTGGAATAACCTGAGAAACCATGCAAGGCAAAGTTCACCAAATGCAGTATGTCAACACTTACTCAGAGAGCAGACTGCCCTGGAGCATGCACTGCACTGGCATTCAGCTTCATGAGCAGTTAATCTTAAATAGTTGAAGCAGTAAAAATGATAGTGAATTTGGTACAAAGCTAAGCGTAGCCCCATTTGAAATAATCTTTCAGGTACATAAAATTCAGAATTGTCTACAGAGCATGACTAGCAGAGCAACTACAGACACTCCTTACGTTCACTACGTTTCTTCTTTGGTGCACAATGGGGCTGTGGGCTGGAGGGGGCACTCATAACATGAAATATGAACTTGCAAAGAAAAGGAAGATTTGAATCCTCCAAAACTTAACTGCTCATCAGCTGCATATTCGTCTCAGAGGAAAAAACATTTGTAGATAAGTAAAGAATCAGCCAGGCTTTATTAAGCTTATTTCCCGTACCAAGCAGATTATCACTCACCTTCTGCCAGAGGGTCTCCTGCAGAGCCAAGCAGGAGCACGCGGCCACAAACCAGCAGTTGCCCAGTATGCCTTGGTGCAAGTCATGGGAGCTGATTCCGTTCACAAACAGGCGAGGATCTTCACAGAGCTCCTGTCAAAACGAATCACAAACTGCTGGAAACTTCACAGCAGAAGTGAACATGGCATCTCTCACCAGCTAGTGCTCTCCACACTTGTTCCACATCATATTCACATTTTCTATTTTCCCACTGTCAAAGCTTGGAGTCCTCTGGTATCAAGTATATTTGAAAGACAAGATGTACAGGCTTATTTACGCCCTCACACATAGATTACGCTGCCTATCTAAGCAACCAGCATTTGATAGTTTTTTTGGAAGTGGTCCTCGGTCTGCTCAGAACTGAAGGTGAATTTTGAGGACTAGCATGAATGCAGCATTCAGAAGATTTATTTGACATTGGGGCAATATTTGGCAAGAGAGCTTACTCACTGACTAACAGGAATTTGCAAAATAAAAAGTTGAAATGTCTCTTATGAAACAAGTGACTGATCACTGTATGACACACTATTCTTTGTCAATATTTCTTAAATGTGGCTTCACTCAGAAAAAAAATTAAAAGCTTATTGCCAGAACTTACTAAAAATTCTGAATAAAAAATGGTGAGTATGAGGAAAACTGTCTGTGCACAAGATACTTATCCATGTAACACACATTCAGGCAGTTTGCCTGGACGTTTTGACACAGATTGGCAACAGAAAGGCAGGGCCAGCACTTTAGCTAGTGTCAATCCATACAGCAGTTGGCATCAGAGCTCAACATCAGTTAACTACCTGGCCTTGGTTTCAACATGGGGGTAGATAATCCAGAGCAAGCATGGGTTGGCTCAAGTTTCGTATCGCTTTTCCATTCTTCACTGGCAGTATTATATTCAGATTGCTTTTTCCTTCAAAACATTGTTTTATCAGCATAATAAACAGGGATGAGTTGATCTATTAAGGTTAAAGTAATCCAAGCTCTTCCGTCAATATAGGAAGCCAAAACTTTTACTGTTTTTAAAAGAAATTAAATACTACTGTATATTAGTTTCCTGTGCCAAAAGTAACCATAATTAAACTATCATTTTTAATTGAAGCATAATTAAACTATCATTTTTAATTGAAGTATAATTAAACTATCATTTTTAATTGAAGCATGTCTTGTATCTCTTACAGTCTTTGGAGAAAAAACAGAACACATCATTTGTCAAATGCTAAACATATGGATGAGATCAGCATTCACTGGGGTCCCAAAGTAAACACAAAAAGAAAATGGACTTAGAAGCACCATCTCTCTGTTTTCACAGTAGTCATTTAATTCTTCAGGATCTCACTTCATAACTCCTTACTTTTCAAACTGCCTAGGAGACCTAGACATCTGAGATGTAAAAGTAGTGATAGAAAATGACATTATTCCTGTTTCTTTTGCCCTTAGTTATAGGCATTATAATAGCTTCTATGATGACTGTCACTGTATGGTGCAGATGAGAAGCACAGTAACACCCAGGTAGAAGCTACAGTTAGTTTGAACCATTTTCTTTCCTCTGGATTTTTGCTTTTCACCATTTATGCAATAGAGAAAATTCCAAGGAATACTTCCTAGATGAAATTAGCAATCTAAATCCTGAACAGAAATGTGCTATTTGACTATGTTATTCTGCAGACCTTGTGAGGATTTTAAAGCACTATTGGTTTTCCCTGGCATGTTTAAAAAACCATCAGTTTTCCTTAGCTATGACCATTTTGGAGAAATCAGCTATTAGCAATGGAATTAAAAGTGAAAACTTGAGATAACAACATGCCCATGGCATTTTTGAGACCCCTGACGCCTGCTCTACCGTGTCCTGCGGGTGCAGCCTACACACCCATGCTCAGGCTCTGAGTATCACTAGGAGATCAGCTATTAGCAATGGAATTAAAAGTAAAAACTTGAGATAACAACCATGCCCTTGGCAAGCACTGCTATTTAGGCCAAACTCTTTTCCTCTGGGTCAGTCTGCAAAATATATAAACTGTGAACAAGAAAATACCTTCACGTTTCCAGGGAAAAATCTTCAAGGAGATTACCAGGTCTTATTATACAACATTAATGAATGTCACACTATTTCTAGCAGAACAACACTAATAAAAGCAGTTTGCTGTATTATTTACATGCACAGACAGCATTCTGCCATCCAAGATACAGAGCTCTCCCGGGTTCTCTTCTTCATGTGCATACTAAAACAAATGCCATCTGCAGAACTATAATTAGGTTGCAGAGGGCCTGCAAGGGAGCTTGCACAGGCTCAGGGTTCTGCTGAAAATCATGCCCTTCTCAGTTTCATGCTCAGAATTTCACTCGCATTCTGGAAGTCCGTTTGTGCCACTTTCTGTCTGACACTGCATAGGCTCAAGATATCTGACATTTAATGCTACTGATTTAATGCCACTAATGCTGTGAGAAGTCAAGGTGGCTCACTAACCACCTTGTCTGACATTAATTAGCTCTTCTCTTTCCAATGGAACTAGTAAATGAATTACTAAATGAGAAAATGGAGAAAACACTGAGCAGCTTGGAGAGGAGAAATGTGTTGAACGTGGGAACATGTGAAATAGCACTGGGAAAGCCCTTGAGAAGTTGGCCAGTTTCAACACCTGCCTCAAGTCCAAATCTGCAAGTCCTTAGCCACTTGTGACAGATGTTTCTCTAACCTGTGCTCAGTACAATGGAAGAAACAACTGTCCAACTGGGCTAGATACTTTATCACAAGCAAAAAGCCTTCTGAAACCTTGTTAGGTCTGAGAAAAATTCGCTCATGAAATGATAAAGGTGTTAAGCAATAATCGTGCTCTCTATGGGTATAGTTTGAGCCCCTTAGAGCACAGAGAATTTTTCACCAAAAGGAAACTGGGGTCCAGTCATAATTGAACTGCAAATACGCATGATAATCCATCAGAAAGGAGTATCCGGTTTGCTCCAGCCTTGCATAAGACAACTCAGTAATTGGGAGATTGAGAAATGCTTCTCCCCACTCTTCTCCCTCCAGTAAAACATGTTCCAAAACCAAACTCATCACAAACTTTTTTATAGCATTCCTCTTTTGGCTATTTCCAGTTTGAGGCTAGCAGTAACTAACACTAAATGAAAGTCATAGGTTTCAGTCTTGCCCTGTCTACAGGACACATACTTGGCAAGAATCTGAATCAATGTTTGGAAAGAAAAAAAAAAAACACAAATGTTGAGCAATGTGGTGCGTATCTTGGCTACTGCTAGATTTCACCTGACCCTTGGCGTGCTGGAGCTGCTCTCATGCAGACTGCTGACAGTGCTGGAAAGGGCACAGCTGACTTGCTGCAGGGATGACCTTCTCCTGAACCTCAGTAACAAACACTGTGTTTATTTGCAGCTCTTGGAGCTCTCTGCCACATGTACCTAGAAATCACTCGAGACTGTGAGGAAGGACTTTCTGGTCTCCGATCATCCTCTTAAAAATATCCCCTGCAACCATTTGTTGTAATGTCTTCGCCTGTGACGGTTTAGATCACTGTGCTACTTTCTGTCATGCACCAGCAGTCAGGCCTGCCACGTTCAGGATCAGACTCACCTCAGGTAACAGCCTTGCTATCCCAGATGGGTGCCTGGACTCCGCTATGACCAAACAAGATGCAAATGCTTGCAAAGTCTGAATTAAAGCCTTTATCTTAAACACCTCTCTCACAGTGGTATAATCCTGGAGAGAGGCCTGTCTCTCTCCAGTGACCACGGAAAGCAAGGTAAAGAGCAGTTGCTACATAAAATGATAACCTTGGTGTTTATGACAACAGCATCAAATAACTCCAGTGCTAAACATCAGTTATATATGTCCAAATAGTTACAGAAAACGCATTCAAAGTAGCACAGGTCAAAATACAGAATGTAACTATTCTTTAGGCTATTTTTGCTGAAATATAAGAAAGTATTAACGAGTCTGAAGCTAACTTCCCCCCGTAGAAGATTTTGATCATTTCTGGTTTAGCCAACAAGGTGCTGAGGAGCTTTTCACTGAGATCACCACTTTGGTCACGTAATGTTGCTGCCTACTGTGGAATACTTAGTTTATTTTATGTCTCCTTCATTAATGATTCTATAGACCTTCATTCTCCGACATTCCAAAACTACTAGAAGTTTGATGTAATTTGGGGAGAAGAGTTTAACCAAACTATGATTTCTGTTGGTAGCAACTTCATATATTACTTGGAAGAAAGAGGAAGGGAAAAAAAAAAAGGTAGTGTTTTCTATCAGAAAAGACACTGTTTTGTAGAAGCTAACCCAAGGTTTTCTTGTAAAATGCTTTCTCTACTGTGATTTTAGATAGTGAACTCCATTAAAACCAAGTGTCCTCTTAGACAGTAGATATTACTTGGGGCTGAATGATGCTCAACACAGTGTTGTGAGCAAAAACATTAAAGGATCTTTTGTTGGATGAGCTGCCCACGAGCAGGAATAAGGAAATTACAAATCTAGTCCTTGGCACTGAATAAAGTCAGTTACAAATGTATGCAAAATCATTAGCAATTAGAATTTGTAAAGCCTAAAGCAGGGAGTTCAAAATGCTCATCTTTCTATTCCACTCACCTGCAGAATCAAAGAACTCAAAATGGGAGATACACAGACCCACGGGCCTTTTTGCCACCAATGCAGAGCACCTCCAGTGACCTCCTTTTTCCAGGCATATGCTTGTGCAGCTGAGGTCAGACCCGGGCTGTATCTGTGTCCATCAGTCTAAGAGGCCACCCACTCTCGAGCAATGGGCTTTTACTGAGAAAAAACAATTTAAAAGGGAGGGTGGGTGGAACTTTTGATGCACAGTTTTTCACAACTCTGAACGGCTCCGTGGCAGTGGGAGCGGAAGGCCTGCGTCCCGGTGGATGCTGGAGCCGCACCTCTGGCATCGCTCTGCCCCAGCAGCCGTGGCCTTTCCACGCCTGCCTAGCTTGAACTGCTGCTCCGTCTCCAGGGGCTCCTGCAGACTGAGGTCTTGGTCACCGCCTTTTAGAAGGAAGTGAATTAGCTGTTAGCAAAAGGACATTAGGGATATTGTAGCAAAACAGATTTTGAAATTAATGCGTTTTGGCTTT